TCCGAAATGCTGGATTGGATTTCAAAACCGTAGTTCCTCATCCCTTGCTTGTTCTTCATCGTCAGGAATCTAAGACAGGCAAATATGTCCATTTCTTACGAAATTTCTTTATCCCATCGTATTTTGGCTTAGCTGGTAAATACCCGATTCCTATTCCTTCCGCTTTCTTGCTTGTTTCCCGCCCAGTTGACGACCCAGACTCTGCAACCCGACTCCTGCTTATTCTCAAACCAGAAATGGAAATCTTTCTTTACCGGATAAGGAAATGGGAGATCGACGAAATAAAGGATTGGATCCACGGTAATCCCAGATCCGAAGGCTCCTGCTTGAGACTCCCACAGAGCTTTTCTTTCCATCTTTCCGAACCAAAGAACAACTCCAAACCAAATCCTTCTTCTGATCCGACCCCATTAGAAAGAACAACTCGAAGAATGGCTGCTTTCTACTTGCTTGCCAAACCCACTCCTGCTATGCTATTCTTGGCGACCAGGACTGGGCAATTGACAAGACCAAGAGAGAGGACTGACTCGTACCTCTTTTAGCCTTTCCTTCCCCAACCCGATAGAACAACTCGAAGCCAGGAGCCCTTTCTCAATCCTGAGACTCCTTAGCTCGTCTTTACCCAGTTTGCCAACCCAACTCTAAACCGTTGGAAGACCAGATCTTTCCTTTGGTTGCAATAAAATATCCTATCTCTTCTCTCGACCACTCGATCGCACATATTCAAAACCAGCGTTTCGAGGAGCTCGCGTTCTACCTGACATATTGGATTTCCTGCATGGCAACAATGTAAATTTCTTTTTTTATTTACGCTATTTGGACCATCGCTTTCAGGGGTTGACGACCCGAGGTAGATACTTCCATCCAAATGAAGAAACCCGAGCTCTGCTTTCAACTCCCTTCACTCCTCTCCTTTCAGTCGAGCCTCTCTCCTGTTATTATTTCTTATTCCTCAACCGATTATTCGGAAAGCTGGGAAGAACAACTCCACTCTCGTAATGAAGTCTCCTGTACCCCTCTCTTCTTCATTGATAAGAAAAAAAGTACGTTTAAGGTTACAAAGTCACTTAGCTGCGTCGGTACGGAGTCTTAAACTATGGACCGAGACTACACTGACGCCCGATAGCCATTAATACGATACGGGGCACTGCATGGCTTAAAAGGCTCTATTTTAACAATGAATGGTTGTCGTCCTGATATTGATATGGGGAAATATCTACTATACAGGTCTTGTTTTTCTTGCTCCAAGTCCAAGGAGTGATGTTCACTAAGAATATCCCGACTGAGCGGGTTGGGTGAGTAGGCGAGATGGCACATTAGCATTTCTGAGTGAATCCTAAACCTAAAAATCAATACTAATGTACGGAAAGAGTACCCCTTCGGGAGTGCATCTTTAGAAGCCGATCCCAAGAACCAGCAGTATGAAACCCAGAAGCCGCTGCTAAACCACTTACTTAGCTATCTTAGCTATACCTCCTCATACCTTGCGCGTCGGTTTCTTCGGCAGCTTCAAATGGAACACTCTTCCCAGTCCACTGTTTAACTACCATAGTTAGTTGCTACTCCTTCTCTGCGTAGTTTCGAAGCTTGAAGGAAGGGAGATACCCTAAACCCATGAGTTGGCTTTTCAGGAGGACAAACTACGAAATAAATACCGCTGCTTTACGGGCCGCTACTTCAAGGGTATTTATTTAGGAGTCCAGTCCCTTCCTTCGGCAGGGAACGATACATTTATCCTATGCTGGGATGAGCGTTGCTAGCCGGGATGGGCTCGTGTAGGGGTAGGTATCTTCGATTTAGAGTTGGTTATTCCAGGGGTGAGGCGGGTGTGCGCCATACGTCCCTGGATAGTTAGGGTTTATTTTATTAGTGGTAGAAGAACTCATGCTCCTTAACATGTCAAGATTGGCTGTAAGGATGTCCTTGATCGAATAATGGTTGTACAAGAGAGAAGCCATTAGCTCCTTAAATAGGTGAGCGAGTAACGCGTGGGAATCAAACAGAGCCTACGTAGTATTAGGTAGTTGGTTAGGCTGACCAATGATGCTTAGCCCTTAGCCGGTCAAATACAGACCACTGGCCACACTCCTTTTCAAGATCTCGGTACTGGTAAAGAGTCCCTGCGGTACCTCGCTATCAAGCTCATGTTTTTTGACGAGGTCAGCACAAGACAGCCCAGTTATCACGAAAGATTCTTCCTTCGGCCAACCTTTCTTCCGCCTTAGATGCAATCCATACAAAAGACTTCTGAGTGAATCCCTTGTGTGCTGATCAGGTTATCGGGTCTAACCTGTTAGGTGCGGTTCGCAGTGCCACGTGTACAAGATCCACCAACTGAGGGTCACGTATTACATGGGGATATAGCGATGCAAATTACTGGAGGAATCTAAAACCCGAAACCAGGTAATGCATAGGAGTACACATATGTTTTGGATTTCTTATTCCATAACAATCATCTTTTTTCTTTCACAACTTGATTCTAATACTTATTTTTTATTCAACATTACTATAGCATTTCATTTTTTATTTGACAACTTTAGTCCTACATTTCTTTATCACCAAGTTAAATGACAGCTGGAACAATGACCAAAATGACCCTTAAAATCCATGTTTTGGCAAAAGAAAGACAGATTGGAACTGTGTTTAGCTGCCAATATTCTATTCCTAACATGAATGGGAAAATAAGCCCTTTAGGCCAATCTTTCATGAATAGGAGTAGCGCGCGCCCCTGTAGTATATGTCGTGTACGGAAAGATCAATCCTCAGGTCCGGGCTTTCAAGTAAGAGGGTGTTGTGAGTTAAGAGCGGAAAGATCAGCCATAGGGAGTATTATACGTGTAATCGAACCAAACTCGGAACAAACAATACACATATCCTTGAACCTGAGAAACGTCTAGCTACGACTCACCCGCTCGGGGGCTTACTCTGCCCTCGTCTTGCGCTTCGCTTCAGTTTTAGCCAAGTTGCGGCTTCGAACTAAAGAATCAGCAACGGATAACAAAGAACATCTCTTACATCATTTCCAAACTTGTCCTGGATTGCCGAAGACCTTGAGGAGCACCTTTGCGCGTACCCAGGTCTCCATTAGACACTGCATTCTTACCCTCGTATGAGGTCTGCAATGAGGCTTTCTGGACATGTGAATACGGTTATCGAGATCGGACAAGTTGTCAAAGATCGGCTGATAGGTATGCTGCTTTTGGATGAAATTCCCCACTCTGTCTATGAATAGGAAATTAAGGCTTTTACTATCAATTCCAATCTTTATCGCGCGTCATTTTAGGTGGATTTCTAGTTAAAGTTTACGGTCGATAGAATTATGTCTCAGTTTATCCTATGTTTGTTTCTGGCTCGTACCTCGGGTCTCGGGATTTGTCTGAGGTTGACAGTGGATCTTAGGAATAAGTTTCCGTGCGTTCGGGCGAGCATAACCACTGCAGCAATACCTTCCTAAATGGGTCTAAAATGAGGCATTCTGGGCGTTGATTATGGTTACCGAGATTGATCATTATTGGCAAAGTTGTCCAGGATGATCAGCCTCTAGGACGTATCTTTGTTGCAGTTGTAAATGTTGTCCTAAATCGCGCGTAATATCGGCATTGGTGTGTATTGTCCACTCACTGCTTTAATTTCGCCCGTGTACGTGTAAAAGGCCAACATTGAAGAGGATGCGCATCGCTCTAGCGTGGAAAATGAACGAAGGTCCTTTAGGACGGGTCGTACCGGTTAAGCATTTCTGATGTCTTATGTTCTAGTCCTCTTTCTTTGGCAGGACCGGTAGTACAAGTGAGCTCCTGACAATAATGGTTGGCGACACGTGGAACACGAACACAATCTAAGAAATAAATGCAAATAGAAGATCAGATTAAAGTCAAGTTGTTCGTAAGTTAGGGCTCAAGCAAGAACAAGATCTCAACTACTCGTCCTTCTTTATTTAATCTTTATACATATCTGGATCAGAGGTAAAGGAAGGGGGTACTATGTGTAGGGCGCAGATTCTATATATTATATATTTATACAGATTGACTACCATCTGGCCCAGGAACTGCTTTTCCCTATATCTCTGAAGGGTCTTTTAACACCCGATCTCTTGAAAAGGAAGTATGGCGCACGTCGTGCCATTTATCATTGATTTCCACTTGGGTTTGGGCAGATGCGGGCTAAAAAGTTTCGTCAGTTGAAAGCAAAGGCTCCGTACGTAAAGGTATCGGCCGATGGATTTATCAGATGTTTTTACCGATGTTGAGGAACATGTAGCAAAGGTCTGTCTCACCCGATAAGGTTCTAAATTTATCCAATCCACAGGTAGAGGGATTACGGAGCGGAATAGTATCAAGTTAGGTCGATCGGGTGTCATCAATTCCAGAATCAGTTGAAGCAAAAGGGCCTCGGTTGAGGCTTCAGTATGGTTGGTTTCGGGCTAAGGTCCTCAAAAGTTCCGGTCTTCTAAAGTCCCCGGGTTCCTGTATAAAGGACTAAACCGCGGAGCGGAAAGTGGCTGATGTTCCATCGATCGGATCAATTCTGTTGAAGGACAAACTCTTATCCAAGTCTGTTTCGGGAAGAGGGATTCCTCGGCAGCTCGGGCAAAGAAAGGCAAGCAACAAGACTCTCACTTCTCGCCTACTCGTGCCAAACACCTGTTTACTGACCTGTCTTCGTCATCTTCTTCTTCTCCCTTTACCTTCCAAGCTGGTGTTCTCAGGAAAGAGGTAAGCCTTTGCCCAGATATGAGGAAGGCATGCTACCTAGCTAGCGGAAATGTACTAACCGATCAAGCCCTCTTTTACTGCTGTTATGCTGGTCAACAGGAGTCCGCTCAGGGGGCCCTACCGAGGAAGGCCCGACGTCTTCCCTGGTATATTCCCTTTTTCACTCTTTTCCTTCACTTCGCTTCTAAAGTTGGGTCGATTACATTGAGAAGTAGCCGAATCTTAAGCTCAAGCCGAAGCAGGTCCTAGAGAAGCAAGCAAAGTGGGTCGGGCTGGCCTGGGACTCAATTGAAAAAAGCGCTATTTCTTCCTTAAGACTAACTAAGGGGCACTAAATTCTACCTTCCTAACCTTCCCTTTGGTACAAGAGAATTGAAAGAGAGGAATGGCCCATCAAGAAGGGCATTTTATACTAACCAACGGGAGATCCCGGCTAAGTCTTAGTCTTTGAAGACGAACCTCAAAAATCCGCCTTTTGCTATCCTTTTTACCCGGTAGAGCTAAAGAAGAGAGCTCGAAGAGCAGCGGCACGCGGATCAAAACCTGTCCTCAGGGTCAGCTATAGTTGGTTAGTCGGATGCTGTAACCGAGTATTCTCGTCTATCGGAAGACCCTTTTTTTTAGGAGTTTACGAAACTTTTCAACAAAGCTCGCATGTTGATAGAGGTCGAAGGGAAGCTTCGAGTGCTTTTTCCACACTCTACGCCTAAATTGAGCCTTGGGCGGAAAGGCCAACGAACCTGTACTACCGCTTCATCCTCGAGGCGATCCCGGGCTGGATCAATCAGTAAAATAAAGGTCGCATCAATTTACACATTGGATTCTTTCAAAAGATTCTTGTTTGAGCTCACCGTCCCCGGAGCGGAAGGTCAAGTTAGCCTTGGTCGACGCGTGGTCTTCTAATCTCAAACACAAATCGATGATTGAGAATTGACATAAAGAGAGTGGATCACTGAAAGAGACGTAGGAAGGGGCTTTCGGCCCGTGGAATAGGATTTCAATTGGCAAAAAGGTTGCCTAGCTGTATTACCGTGACCTCCCCTCATTTCGCAGCTTCTTTCAGAGACTGAGTTAGAAGCTCGTTCTTTGTTTTATAATTGAAAGAGTAAGCAGAGAGAATCGCCTTCTTGTCCGACATTCCATGCTAGCCTACCGCTACTCCTTTCCTTGGCTCGTTCGCATAATTGGCGAGTGGAGGCTCGATATAATTGACCTCTGTTACTAAAAGAAGATCTTCTTACTTCCTTTGATTTCAATCCTTCATCTCATCTCAATCCGAATGAGTGACAGATGCCTATAATAGTAAAGGAATCGGCTTCTTTCGGTTGCCCCAAAAAGAATTGAATCCTGAATACCCGGAGAAATATATTCCTTATAGGCTAGAAAAAGAAGATTGCAAAAAAATCAATAGAACCAACCCCCTACCACAGAAGTACCGAAACAACCAGAAGGTCCATCGACGAGCTCGAGCGTACAAGTATTAGACCCCGCTCCGCAAGATCATTTTATCGGCCAATGGGGATACTCTCTGCAAATCTAAACATAATACCAGCAAACGAAGCGAAGTGAAGTCAAAAATAGAAGTCACGTCAAACTTTCTAGTCATAGACTCGCTTCATTCGATGGCCTTCCCTAACAATGAAATTTTGACGTAGAAGTGAACAAAAGTATATAAGCAAGCGCAGTTTTAGTGCACTTAAAAGGGCATTGCCGCAAGAATCAAGGCCCTAAGACTGGAGGCTCTGAACGTCAAGTCTCACAAGCCCGGAGAATACTCTCTTTTTGTCCTCCGCTCGAGTGGAACGGTTGTTGGTATTCTATTTCAGATCCTGGGTCACCAAATTCGTGTGTCTTTTCAACAAAAGTAGGCACAGCAAAAGCTTATTCGGGTTGGGATATCATCAAAGAAGCCATAGGACTTTTCATCCTTCTGGTGATTTCTCATCGACGAAATGAAGAGGCATTGATGGAGAAGCTGTTAGAAACTGTCCGCCTATTTGCGTTGTGGGACTTTCAGAATCCCAGGGAAAGGAGTTGGCTTTTTCTCATGCCTGGCCGGGCTCTCCCCTATCGACAGATGAGAGACTTGAAGGGACAAATGGGAGCGGCAAGGGCTGGTAGAATGCATCTAATGCAGCTTAGAACGAAGCTTACACTCATTCACATTGGTTCGAGCGAGAAAGGAAGAAGCCGATCTCTGGAATTCATTGGCACTTCGCTCGTCAAGCAAGAAATGAAAATCAGCCCTTGATGCGTATGGTTCACCGGTGAACATAAGGATACCGAAAGAAAGACAACAAGATAGTCCGCCGCCAGAACAAAAAGCGAGGTCAATTACAGCGACCCTTGATCAAAGACGTGGTCCACAACGCGCCCCTCGAAGCCAAACCTCTCGGTAGAAAAAGGCAATTTCTCTCACAAAGGTCGATAGTACGAGGCTCGTTGAGACCTTACTGTAATAGAATGAAATGGGAAGACCTCTTTGACTTCACTTCGCTTCGCTTCTAAGTTGGGTAAAAAAAGAAAAACTTTTTTGCAAATGCGCTAATTCTTTCTTTCCTAGTGAAGGAAAGGTTAATAGAGTGACCAAGCTTCTAAGTTTTGGTTCTGCGCGTTGATCTAGTTAACCAATTCCGCAAGAATTCTTCAAAGGAAAAGAGTCCAAACGGAGGTTGGCCAGGCGTTCGAGAGCGAGACCTCGAGTGAAGGAAGACGTCCGCTAAAGCCCTTTGAAAAGGTTTAGTCCGTACTAAACTAAACGTACCTTACCTGTTCTGTTTGTTATTACTGTCGAGTGTCCAAACTGATGATTAGAGAGCCACCTGCTGTCTCTCTCGCCGATCTTTTTAGCGGAATGTATGAATAGCGCGGATCATGTGGGGAATGGCTCCTTGGTTTCACTGTATCGCGTTGAGGAAACTCCCCTCCAAGAAGACATTATTCCCCGTCCCACGACAATTCCAAGTGTTAATGTGAAAACTAGTGTGCCCACTTTATCCGCCTCTCCAGCGACTTCACTTCGCTTCGAAAAGTTTGTGGCACCTTGGGTGACGTGGGCGGTGAATACCCTCCGCGAGTGAATTTCCCACTTTTCTTGTAATAACCTTTTACGAAGCTGGGCAAGACCCGGAGCAATAGCTTTGCTTTGGATTCAATAGCAGCCTACTCTGAATTCTGTGTCCATTTTCTAACAGAACTTTTCAAAATGTGGATCTAAAGAATCTGATTTGTCACTCGCTCCTTTTGAGCCCCCTTCCGAAGGAACTCTTTGACTTCACTTCGCTTCGAAAAGTTCGTTGGGGCGAAACTAAATGATTCTGTGCTGTAGTTTCAGTCGTTGCTGGATTCGTCCTTATTTCCACTTTCCAAAGCGTCAAACCTCAGACAAGAAGTGAGCTTTACTCTAATGCTTTGAGCCGCACCATCTGGTTGAGGATGAGTCTATCTTGATCTCAAAACCGGCGGGAGAAGGGAACGTAAGGCGCCATTAAGGCGTCAAATATGGTTAGTCCGGTCATTCCTGTAATTGCTCATCAGGTCTCCCGTTAGTCGACCCAACGAAAGAAGCGAAGCGAAGTTCAGTCCCTGGAGAGGAGAGTGAGCATTGGGCTTATCCGTCAGAGTCAGACAACAGCGAAATCGAGGGGATCAAGACGACTGAGGTGTCCGTGAAGGACTCTGGCATCTGGTGACCAGAGAAGAAATCCACCACAGCTTCCTCAACATCAGTCTCAACAAGATCCCAGCAAGCCTGAAAGAAGAGAGAAGAGAAGCCATCCGGGCCGGAAACGGGGGTCAATTCCAAACCTCCCTAACCTGAGCCATCAGTTGTTGGCTGCTTTCGTATAGTTGAGAACGGCTGCATTTAGGAGTGATCTTTCGAAAAAAATATTTTCTGTCTTAGACAAGCGAGCTCTAGTACTTGATATCCCTCAACAACCCGCCTTTGACGTGTGACCAATCACACTGAATCACAACGGCAATTATCAAGAGAAAGAAAGGCGAAGATGGTCTTCCGATATCTTGGCCCAAAAGGGTACAACCCACTGGAGCAAGCGTAATTGGTCCGTATCATGGAAATGTTATTGATCATGGTATCCCTGAGCCCCTTTGCCCTTGCCTCCTTTCTTTCGATTTGTTGTGGATTGTACAAGTTCGTGAAGTTTTCAGGACGAGTGGAATGAGGAGGTCCGAGCGCCCTCGATGCCTGCTTGTCGGGGATGATAGAATCTATGGCTTTGTTTTCACTCCTGGGATAAATGCCAAAGAGACAGATAGAAGGGATTTTTAGTCCTGGTATAATCTTTGTCAAGAAAGAACGTTAAGTTGAGCCCAAGGGGATTAGTAGTCCGACATAGAAGTTGGTTGGAGGGCCACTGAAAGGAGCCAGAGGTTTCCAATTTATCCCGTTGTTTTGGCTTTCCCGTGTAACCAAAAAAAGAAAGATCATCCATTTTCTTTTGCTTGCTCCCGATCTGTCCTGCCCTTCCTTCCTTCTCCGTTCGCGCCCAGACCTATTCTTCGTTAAGCTGTTCTTCCTTCTTTCCGTTCTTTCCTTTCTTCCTCTTCTGCGCTAGTCGGCGCATCTGTCCGAGCGGGTAGGGATTCGGTCTCTTGAGTTAGCCTATCGGTTTCGTTCAGAGTGGCTTGATCGGTGGCATCATTGCGTGATGCAGCTGTCGCTTGCTCTTTTGCTCGATCCGCAAACAAATAACCATCAGCCGACCACCCATCAGTGACTGGAGCTTTCCCTGAGGCAGTTGAGTCAGAATGCCTACTTTGTTCGATCTCAGTGCTCGGAGTAGGACTGGTGGCACAGGATGATGCCCTCTCTTCGTGAGCCCCAAAGGCAAAGGCCGGTTCTTCGTCGTTACCCATCGAATGAATCGTCGGTTGAGCCTTCCTTTCCTCTTCTTCTCTTTCGAAGCAGGCAACCCACCTAGGAGACATCCAACCGGAATCGGTGACAGTCTCTGTCTTAGCTAGAGCTTTTTCTTGGCCACTAGGACCCCAACCTTGACCTGCTGCCGAGTCAGATGAAGCCTTAGTAGTGGATGATGGAATGGGCGAAGGCGGAACTACGATCATAGAAGAAGGTAGCCAGATCGGGCTAGCGAGATGGGGAAAGGCAAATGACCTTTAGGAAATCGATCGCTCCTTTGACTGCTAACGGACTACTGCCTTTCTTGAACAGAACGAGAGGAATGCGGCTAGCTCAGCTAGTTTACTTACTTGCTCGTTATAGGGGGAGGCTAAAGCAGGGAAGCGAAACTAGGTACTACGTACCTAGACCTAGGAATGGAGTTGGCTTGTTAGGGCTAGGCTGTTGACTTCCTTATTGGTGCGCTGCGTTATCGTTTGCTCATTCACCTATCTAATAGGGAGATTCCTTCCTACGTTCCGGCTCAGTCCAGCCAGTCTTCTATTCTCTTCCTAATATCCATTTTTAAGCTGGTCTAAGCCATCTGCGCTTTCCACTCCAATATCTTTTATTTTCTTAGTCTCGTTCTCGTCTCTATCTCTTAGGTCAAGCATCTTCGGGCCGTCCCCGTCTTAGTCGAATACCTTTTCATTCCTTCCGCAAGTTCGTATCTTATAAGAATCATCCTTTGTCTTTCTCCCGGGCGAGCTTCTGCTTTCTATTCTGACTCTCTCTCAGCAGCAAGACCATAGAATAGGAGAACCACTAGATCCGCTGCAATCCCAGTTGCCAGTTGACTCAACAAAGAATCCACTTTGTTTGCTTTGGTGCTTTCTTTTATGCCCTTCCTCGGGATATTACCACCAAACCAGATATCGTGATCTTGAATCTAGGTACTTGACTTCCCCCTCTTCCTATGTATGGGGCGAGTAGCCTAGCCCATCTCCTCAGACTGAGCTGAATTGCCAATCCTTTGAGCCGCTTCGCTCCTTGGGATGCCGGAATCTCGAAAATCGAAGATTAGTATGAAACTAGAGCCATCTCCTTTTTGCAGGGGAATCTCCTTCGGTTGATTATCTGGTTTCGGAATATGCATTTCAAAACCTTTTTCTCTCGTACCCTTTTGCCTAAACTCCGGTGATCTAGCTTTGGCTTATGCCATTACCCCTAAACCCGATTCTTCTCTTTATCCGGATCCTTATTCTTTTTGTGACTTCTTTATTTGAATGACTCCTTTCCCTACCGGTGATGATGTTGATGATAGAGATTTTCTTTCACAGTTCTACTCCGGGACTGCTTTTCTTGCCTTTCTTGCATTACCGGATTGATTGCTTTTCTGCAGGAATATAGGTTACTGCAGCTGCAAAAGAATCAGGAGCAGCCTCCTTTTGAAGTCGATCTGGTCTAGTTCAATTCTTTCGATCTCTCCCCTTTCTGTCGAAGTAAAGCTAGAAACCTCTCCTACAGCCCATGGGATGGGATGGGAAATCTCAAGATTAGGCTACTACTAAGACTGGTTTAGTTGAGTGAAACGACTGCTTGGTCGAGCCAAAACTATCCTATCGCTTTCACCGACGTTTTCCCCTTTTTTCTTCCCGGTTTAATATTTGTTCTCGAAAGTCTTCGTTCTATTCGTTTAAGGGTAGAAGCAAACTCTCCAAATTGTTAACCAAGCAAGGTCGCTTATAACACTAACGGAACACTTTCTTTTTTTTGGCTACAACGGGTACGCTCTCTAGAAGATTTGCTCGGGGCTGTTCACTTTCACTTGGTCGCCTGGTATCTTTGAAACCTCTTTGCTTGCGGAGGCAGGAGTGCGTCTGAGAGAGCGCTTCGCGAAAGAATCGTGTGGCGGGTTTCCCGTTGGGGTTTCCGGTCCCCTGGTCTTCACCTAATTGTGGAAGAGGGGAGGTGCATTGAGTATCAACTCTCTCTCGCGCCTTTCTTCAGCTTGTTCCTGTTCGTCTATTCGGGACGGGGCAGGCAGCCCACATACATGAAGAGAAGAAGAGAGGAGAGGGGGTTCCCTGAGATTAAGGTGTCAAGGCGGCGGTCGAAGAAGGCCACAAGTGGAAGCAACCGATGCTTTGGTCATTCAGTTGACTCCGCCAGTCCGTGCTTGCTGTCATGCTGGCAAAAGCAGGGCTTTCGGCCTTACCTACTATTGGATTTGAACCAATGACTCTCGCCGTATGAAAGCGAGACTCTAACCGCTGAGTCAAGTCAGAGAAAATAGACCCGAAAGAGAAAGCGTTATCACTATACGAAATATCGGCCTATTCACTCAGCTAGGGAATAAGACTAACCTAATTTCCCTATTCACTGAACCCAAGACTAAGGGCAAAGAGAACTTCCTTTGCTCCCTTCCTTCAACTTATAGGATGGAACCCGGACTCCTAACTAAACCCTCTTCCGATTGATTGTCTCGATTTCACTGCCTTGGTTGGCCACCATGCCTACTTCTCTCCAATGCCTCCTTCTTAAACCCCTTCGTACTGCAATCCAATCACTCGATCGATCAAGAGGCTAATCTCTTTTGTTTGGGCCGGTAGCTAAAAGAAAGTCCTCGCCTTCTCTTGAACAAGGGAAGGGCAGCATAGCATTAGCTTCAATTGAACAAGCTCAACCTTGAAAAAGAAAGGTGGTAGGCCGAAGAACCGTTGAACGCTTCAACTTGGCCACTGAAGAAGGCGAAGGCTGGGCAAGAGACTAGGCCAACTTACTGCTGACTGCCATGGTTGAAGCTTTAGGCTCCATAGACGGAACTTTTTTTTAGGTATTAGGGAGGGGAGGACACCACTCAGCAATGAACACGAACTGAAAGCGGCCGGGAATGAGTACCTATCCCTTACGGGAATCGAACCCGTGTCTTCGACATGAAAAGACGATGTCCTAACCACTGGACGAAAGGGACCAAAAAGCCATTCTTCATATACCTCAGCTCCGAGAATAGAAGTGGTTCGTTTTCTTTCTATACGCAATTCAAGATTTCGTTTGTGTTCATGTTGGCGATTCCCTTCTCCCGAGAGCTTTCACACTCTGGGATGGGAGTCCCTTCCAAGACTTGACCAAAAGCTTATCTCTTTCATCTCAATTTAACATTTTCCGAAACGCGGCTAGACCGAGGCAGAGCAAGAGTGCAGCTTCAACCGATCCCCGGCGACATCTTTTAGGCCGATGTTGGGCGTATCAGCTATCTCACCTGGAGAGTGAGGAAAGAAAACGGTCTCGATAGCGGATAAAGCTCTTCCGGTTTAATAAGTTTCTCTTGGACCGTGCGTTCCGCCAACAGACGAGACGTGAGGAGAAATGGAGACTTCTCCCCATATCTGGTCTAATCCATACTTTTCTTTAAAGTCTCTAGTGGGTGCGAGCGGCTCCCGCACCGGGTCGGGTCTGTAGTCTGTCGTTTTGACCAAAAGATGAAGTTTGGTTTAGTCCTCCAAATGAGTCCATTCGCCTCGTTCACATAGGTCCTTTCCACGAGGGCCAAAGTGAACCCAAAGTCTTGTGTAGGCTTTTTTGTTTATATCCATGTGGCCAAAACAAGATATTTAGCAGGGATACAGACGACGCGATTCCAGCTTTCATAGTTTGATCAGGTAGCTGAAGTCGTGGTGCTGATCGCGTGGTTTGCCTCCTCTATGGTCAATACTGAGAACATGAATTCCCTTAGCGCGTTGGATCATCGAATAATGGCAAAATTCCTATCTCTGGTAAGACCACCCATGAGGGTTCATCAACTCATTTCTCGGTCAGATATTGGTGAACAAAAGTACAATTGGAACTTGTCACCAGCCTCATCTGGTGAGGGATCAGCTGTATCGGCTTTCCCTAGTGATAAGGTCTGTGAGGTTGTGGAGAAGATGAAGTTGATACACACTACGGAATTCTTTCTTCTTTTCTATTGCTTTTTTAGAAGAAAAAAGAAAGAGAACTCAAAACACGTATTGCTGCTTCTTCACTCTTTGCTTAATCGCATATTCATGATGTTAACCCTTCTTCTATTTGCTGAAGCTGGGCATTGGTTGGGATTGAACCTACGGCACTACTTATGATGCTATCAAAGGTATTGAATCCGTAAGCTTATTGATCGCATATTGCACTTCTTTTCTGGAATGAGAGAGGAAAGGGTAGAGAGAGCGAGGATATGCTTAATCCGCTTTGCGAAGCATATGCATTTCAGTCTGCACGGGCTTACAAAGAGGCATTTGGATAGCACAGATAACCGAGACAGGAATAGTTGTCACGAGATATGAGAGGGAGAGTTTCTAGATGAGCAAGAAGGCGTTAAATATATAATGAAAAAAGGAACTACCTATCTATGGTTTTTGCAACGTTTCAACTAATTGGAAATGCCTGCTCTTCGATGTTACAAGCTAGCCTTGCTACGATTTCCATATAGGTACAGAAGATTGTGATACCCCTCCCAGAGTGTATGCTCCAGATGAAGCTAGCTTCCAAGCGAATGAACTGTCAAATCTCTACTCTTTTGCCATCTTATTCTTACTTAAGAAGCTTCTCTAGATCGACTTCTCTTTCTTCATTAGGCAGGCTGAGATCAAGGTTCGCCGCTTTGCCAGGACGAATAGAGTTAGCGAGCACGTAGCATTATCTATATCAGGAGCTAATAAAAGTCAAGAGATCAAATCCGTGCACTGGCATTTTGGAGGTAGCATTGGAAAGAACTTGCTTTGCATTTCATAAGAAAAAGCTGGCATTCAAAGACAAGGCTTGGGTAGTATAGGCAGTTCAGAAAGTAGGGTAGTTCAGGCTCAATCGAAGGCTCGTCGGCACGGTTGGTGGAAAAAGGTGAGAATAAGCAACTCGGTATTTATTTAAAAGAGACATTGAGTGCTGTTTTTAAAGTGGCTACAATTCGTCCTGGTATTATCCATCGCCATCTCTCGACATTTCCTCGCGCAAAGAAAAAAAATAGAATCTCTTCTACGGCTCCACCCACCGAGTAGCCACTCACTGGAGTCTTAGCCTTCTTTTCAGTCTATGAATGAATCTCTTTTCTTGTAACCGCTCCATCCTAGCTCTCAACTCCGATCCGGCATGCCTCATTGTGTTGGTGGGAAGCCTGTTGGTAAGCAGCTCTCTTCCCAATGGAAGATTCATTCAGTTCAAGCTTAGTTTTTGACGTGCTATGGCAGAGACTACTGCACCTTCGAGGCATTTGTCCAACACTCCGGTCAATATATCTGATCTGGGCAATCCTGTAATGAAATCCATTGTCACTGTTTTCCAATGCACAATTAGTAATTGGTAAAGGCTCTAATAACCCAGGAATCTTTATATTCTATCCTTTGTTCAGCTGACAAGCGAAAGAACTACTCGATTTGATCTATTGCTATAGCTATTGCGCACACAACCTTTCCTTGCTCTCGCTCTTCGCCAGGTCCCACAATAAGGAAGTTTTCACTTGGTTCATACTTTTATTCTTTAGCCAGCGTAGCTAGTCTGATTGGTTTCATCCCTAGCTTGCAACAACTACTATCTGTTTCTTTATCATTAGCTTTAACAAGCTTCTTTCGCTTAGAATGTTCTATTTTTTCCAATTCGCCGTGGTATGAAAGTGCTTTGGTCGACTGGAACAGTTAGGGAACAGGGAACAGGGGCACGATAAAGGAACTTGTTCACATATGATATTACAAAGAAAAGGGTTAATGCAGAGCTTATTGAAAAAGGGGGCTTCTCACGAGCGAGCGGGAGTTTTCAATTCCGGATCAACAAGGCCAAGTAGCCATGGCCCATCTTAAGAGATTAAGTGCTTCATTTCGCTTAAAACCTACATTCCCTCCGGGAGCACTCTTTTTATACATTTGCTCGGTTGACTGAGTGCATTTACTAGCATTTTCTTATCCTTTGAGATAGGAATCCATCAATAAGAATAAAGATTAGAACTCTTGCCCGGCGTGGCGGCTTGGCCATATTAAACTATTGAAGTGGGTCTTTCTCCTATACACACACTCCGAGGGGAGCAAAAAAAACTCTTAGCCGGCAATTAACTGACGCTTTCTCCTTTCTTTGAAGCTAGCTAGTTGAGCTTTCCTTTCATAAGCGGAAACACTTATTTATTTCTCTTAGTTATTCCCTAGATGATGAGCGAGCACTTTAACTACTACTACTTGATTTTCTGTTCTTGGAATATTGTATTAAGTAGAAGTTAGTGGGTTCAGTTCCTAGATGAGATGCCTCCTTACTTGCATTTCCTAGTTAAGATTAACTAACTGATTGGAGTAAGGTTCTTTTTCATTCTTTTTTTCAACGTTCTTTCTATTACCCTAGCCAAGCAATAGGTCTCTATCTCTGCATGCCACTACTCATTGTGTGGAATTTTACAGACAGTGGCTTTTTTTCAATCCGGACCACGACGGTGACGAGCATTGAGAAGGAATGACCTCATAAAGCGGTAAGCTCTATTGCCGCCTTACTCCTCGGAATTGGAACCGGCCCTCAAGTTCATCAAGATGCTGCAGACCTGGAGGGTATTTGTTTGGAGTCAGCTTCCACAACTCAAGAATGGCATCGGTCAGTCGCCTCATTAGCATAGCTTCCAGTAAATATCCCAACCCACACAGGTTTAGTTGTTTTATCTATTAGGAGTCTTGCTTCTGGTTTTTCGGGTGACTCTTTCTTCTGTACCCGCTCCCCTAGTGGACCCGTAGCTGGTAGGTAAAGAAAAGCTTTTACTCTTGCTTCAGCGCCTCTAGCAGTCGAATTTACTTGCGGGCAGAAAGAATCTTTTACTCGCATATTACTTAGTCTAGTGTACTCGATGTAGCAAGGGTATCATTCAATCTCCTCTGGTTAGTGTCTTTCCAGCATTTATAGCTTTGTTAGCGGGTGGTTAGTTAGTGTTTGATTGAGGCCTAAGCTCGTGTAGCAATGCGGGCTCGCTCATTTAATTAATTATCAAGTTGGGTTTGCTTTTCAACAAATAGCTTCAGACTTTAGCTTCTTACTTATTGTGTGTAGTCCCGTTCTTTGCTTATTTATGGTTGTTTGTGTAGTCGAGTAGTACGTATCTTACTTTGTTTTTGGTTTGGTGGTGTAGCAAATATAGACTTAAGATAGTATAGATAGCACGTTGTAGAAGATAGTAAGTAGACTGTACGGAGAGAGGTCGATAGAGAGAGTAATGATTCTAGTCTAGTATAGATACTGGGATAAGCACAGCAGTATAGCACGCTAAGGATAGATATAACTCGAGACCGGGCGGAGAAAGCTTACAGACTACTGCTTACTCAGATTGTGTGCTAGTTCACCAGTATTTACTCTAAGGCCGGCGGGCGGGCTTTCTCGATCATCATAAAAAAGATAAATTTGGGAGATAAAAAAATAGAGAAAGAAACAGCCGATCCTGAACGCGCTGCCTATGGGGCCAATACACCTCTAAATCCATCCAAAGGTCGTAACGAGCAGAGCGTACTACTTGTCCTGATTAGAAGGCGGCTAGTTGGGCGCTAAGCAAAGAGAAAATTCCAAATGCTTTAAATGCGGTGAGGGCCCGGGACATGTGTGTCAAGGCGCAAAAGGGTCCAATCACTTCATAGAAGGGGAAGAAGATGAACTGAACGAAACACCAGCTCCAATAGATTCTGGGGAAGAGAATGAGGTGCAGGACCCCGTACGTAATATCATAAATTGCTGATGTGAAAGAGATAATCAAGGAATGAGAGTTATATAAATAGGGGAGATCAGGTCTTATTGATTGGAAATCAGTAGTACGGGAGACAGCTCTTCTTTGTTCAAGGAGTAGATTCGCTCTCGGAGAAGGAAATGAAGATTTCCGGGAGGAGTGGAACGGAGGTAGCGACCGGTCAAAGGAGGATAAAGTGATCTCCGCAAGCTGCAAGTGAAGTAAGGGGTAAGGAGTCACTCTCTGAACGAGAACGGAAAGGGCGCCCTTCAATTCAGCAAGGCGACCAGAGGTCACTATACAAAGCATACCAGACAGCTAGTACAGTTGGAGGAGATCCCTCCCCATCAAAAGTAAAGTACTACTTGGAATATATCGCCATCCCGGGGAAATCAGCCTCGCATCCTCAACATCAACATATTTGACTAATGACTTCGGTCCTGATGAAAGAGATGCCGCGTATGTATGCCAAAGCGGTCGTCTAATCTAATTTACAAGGAGACTGGATTTCATGCTGATTACTCTTTCTATCGCTTTCTCCGCAGGGTGCACTTTTCCCAAGTCTCATCTCCTATCCGGCTGCACACTCTGGGAGTTCTTTCTACGGCAATTCGAAACGTAGTCTCTAAGCTCACCGCTACGCCCTTGTCAGTTGAGCTTACGCTTTATCCGTAACCGTGCTTGAAGCTCGAGACCTATTGGCTTTATGACCTGACTGTACCTTTCGCGTCCTCTCCTCTTGACCCTTGCTCTCCTTTACAGCCGAGGAGTAGGGACACAAGAGTGCTATTGTTGGGGCGTACTACGTACGACCATTCACGAACGTACTACGTACGGCAACAGTGGCAATGCCTATCTCGTCTATCCATATGCCTACTTTCCCCATCAAGAAGTTCTCCCTTACCCTAAGCATGAAGCCGATGCGGAGCGGCCGATTCCCAGAAGAAGAAGCCAAAAGAACCGGTGTATTTTATCTTATAGTTGATGTGATGGAAGCTAGGGTCATTCGGCTATAGCAACTAAACAAGCAGCTCAGCAAGCGGTTGAATTCCCTTTTCTTGCCAGTGATCGAGTCAAGAAGGGCTTTTCAAATGCGGAGGCAAGGCCATCCCCCGGATATAGGTCTCACGCGAAATAGACTTTTCTTTTACCGATATGTCTTGGATTAAGATAAATGCTTCCTGCGCATAGACGTTGAAGTTGTTCCGGTGTAGCTAGCTGCTCTTCCATTTGGTTTGGTCCGACGGGAACTGCTTGTTTTGTTTCAGGAGTTCCGCTTCGTGCCTTTCCTGTCTGGTCGGTCGGGTGGGTAAGTAAACTTACTCTCCTTATCGCTCCGTGGGGATATAGAGTGGGCCAATGATGAATTGAATCTTCCCTCTTCGTAGTCTTCCATGCTGCAGCCAATTATCCAACCCTGGAATTAGCACCGGATCATTTGGAGACGACTGCACCGGACGTACAAAATAGGGTCAGAGGAGGACCCAACGGTTACTGTAGAGCCAGTAGTGGGGTTCATAAACTCTTACTATATATTCAATTAGGTGGTTCCCGGGAGTGACGCCCACTCGGAGAGGGACTTTTTTTATAGAGGTCAATGTAATCGAGCCTTGTTCGTGCTAAATTCCTAAATTACAGGACTGAGGCTAGGGACACTTGACACCAAGGCAATCCCGGTTCAAATGAGAAGCGAAAGGTAGGCTGAGTTACGAAGGAACGGAGTAGCTTGTTTGATAGAACAAGGAATGCAGTTGCTGGCCTGATAGGGCCTGGAACGGGCTAGCTCGACTAAAGGGCCGTAGGGGCTTTGAAGTTTCTTTCTTTACAGGAAAATCTCAAACTTCTTCCTGAAATCTTACTTCTAGCTTTCCCGGGATTCAATTCTTTTCTTTCTTTACTAAATCCCTCTCTCTATCTACGATATTCTTTCTTTAGCCACTCTTTTTTGGGCAAGGGACCTACTTCTCATCCTAGGAGTTAGCAGGTATAAAAGAGTCCCCCTTCTGCTGGGCAACATCCATACAACTCCCCTTGTTTTGTTCTAGCCGCTAACCGTCTAACGATGTTCTGTAATATAATAAGATAGATGCCTTCATCCCACCCAGTAGCAGCAACAGAAGCGGGAAAGCCCGCCAATGACCCAAGAGAAGGGGATGGTCACTGAAACTAGAACTAATGGAAGATCAAAGTCCAATAGGGTCGTATGGGGAAACCTGTGAATCGCTAGAAAGACGTGAAGTGTATGGCATTCTTCTTTGCCTTTTTTGTCCGGATTGAATAAAGAGAGTCAAAACAAGAGTACAAGCAAGAACTATAGGGACGTCAGTGATTCTGTTAGCAGATTCATTCTCAAGAGTTCCCTTTTCGGTAAACTTCACCTCTTTTTTCTTACGACTCAAATTCGGGCCAATATCAAAACAAAGAAAAGAGCTCTATTCAACAATTGAATTTCCTTATCTTATTCAACTCATCTCCCTCTTTCGTCATCCGAAAAGCGGTCTAAAGCCAATATCGATGTGCCGGGGCGTAGCGGGAAAAACATAAGCTTTGATTTAAAGTTAGAAGAATCAAGAGAATAACGAAATTCGTAAGAATTCTTCCCAATTCCATGGTACTTCACAAGTAGTCATTCGTATTGGTGACTTGACGCTTCTTTCTGACGCCTTTAGCTCGGCACTAGGTTTAGTCTTCCTTCCCCTTCGAACTTCACTATCTGGCTATCGAGAATGAACTCAAATGTTAGAATAGGTTGCAAGAATAGAATGCAATTCCCCCTTCATCCCCACGCCTTCTGCCCTTACTGTTCTTGTCTCTCAAAAAGGATCGATGTAATTGAGATTCGACCCTACAAACTTTTCGAAGCGAAGTGAAGGAAAGTAAGTTGGATCAGGCGCTGCAGACCTTTCAGACTCGAATCCAAAGTAAGCTGGATGCGTACCTTCCGTCACTTCGACTTCGAACCCTTGCTCTTGTTTTTCAAGAATAGCTTCAATGGTTAGTTTTCCCATACCCTGAGCCTTACTTGAAAGCGTAGCCCTCAACTTCGCTCCCCTCTCCTTCACAGTCGTTCGATGTAATTGTCTTGATCTTAGGGATAGAGCCTTGACTCTTTCGCGTAAGGAAAGCAAGTTCAGGAGTTTTTTGCTAGATGTCATAAAGAAAGGTCAATTACATCTTTAGAAGCGAAGTGAAGTCATAGAGGTCAAGGGATCAGTAAAATGGAAGCTAAAGGCTAAGAAATCGGTATCTGACTTCTTTCTTCTTCTGCTTTAATGGGCTCTATTGGGGGACTCCCATCCGAGGGATTAATTCATCCTTCCTCTACTAGTAGCAGGAATATGGTACTCCACTAGGGAGTAAAGGCTATTCCCTTCGGTACAACCAGTAATCCCTAATCCCGCAAGTCAGAGCATCAGAACGTACGAGCCGTCACCGAGGCGCTTGACTTGATAGGGCTAACCTTTCTTTCGGTGTGAACGAGCCACCGGAGGTAAGGCTCGATGTAATTGACCTTGGTCTACTGGGTAAACCAGCTAGGCAGCTAACGGTATACGCGATACCATGGATACGCCTGGCCTGACTTGACTCAATGTAATCGATCCTAACTTCATCCTCTGTGTTCATCTAGTCCTTCCTGGTAGTGTAAGGAGTCTCATAAAGTTGCTTTCAAGCTGGGTTACTCAAATTTGCGCTCGGGCTTCCCGGTATAACTTTCACTTTCTAGGGCGTTAGCATCTTTTACTAGTGCCTTGAGTTCTTATACCTCCCTTATGAGAAGGTTCGATGTAATTGACCTCATCATCTGCAGCTCCTGAGACTTTAAACCTTGCTCGTTCGTGTCTGTGTGCTAATAATTCACTACCGGCTACTTCGGAGGAGAGGGAGGTTAGCCCTAGTGCCGTTCAAGCGTACTAGCTTGCTGATCCGTGCTTTCCTGTGACGCTGCCCTTTACTAAATAGTTGTTCTGGTTCATGTAGTTAGGGAAGTTGGCCTATTCGCTTAGGATCGATTACATTGAGAAAGTCAAGTAGTAGGTCATTACTTTGACTTTCCTATCTAGGCGGTACCAAACCCTTAGGTCATAGGTTCAATGTAATTGACTAAAAGCACTCTGCAATGGGTGTTAGGGAGACTTTCGGACTTCCGATTCATAGCTTAGCTCCCTTCCTTCGCTTAGCCAAGGAGAGTTCAAGGACTTTATCGACTAATTAATCGAAGGATAAGAGGTCTTTTCTTCCTTTGTCTCGGATGGAGGAATGATCACTTACCCGGTGTAATCTCGGAGTTGTCAGTTTAGCTCGAGCATCTTCCTTCGAAAAGTGAAACTTCAAAGTGGAACTCCTCATTTCAGGAACTTGAAATTCATTGCAGGAGCAGGGACTCGAGTCATCGGTCAAGTGTGCAGTCATCGGTAAAACCAAGCACTTGTTCCTTTGGGCTGGCGGGCAATCTTCCAATCTTGTATTGTACTCGGCGAATTGCGCATTCCCAGTCGAGGAGAAGGAAAGGCCTTGAGTTCCTTCTTCCGCGGTAACTAAGCTTTCAAGTGGACTTCCTCAAAAGTGCTTTTCGGGTATTTACTCAAAGTGCCGGTGTCTCTCATTTGTGAATTCAGTACTGGCACTGAGCTTTCAGATCGAGGGAAATCCTGGAAGTGCGCAAATCGGGAAATCTCGGTAATTGCTGGAAATCCGGCATTCGAATCTAGTCCTTGTACTCTCTTTCGGATGGAGGAATGACAAAGAGGCGTAGGAAAGTGGGCGCGAGTCCCTGCTATCGGATGACGTAGAACTAGAAAGCCCTATCTTATGACATATAGGAAAAACGTGCGTTCAAGACTCCCCTGGATTTCTCCTTATGGTAGGCGAGGCTACCCCATATCTGGGCATACCTTTCACAGCTATATTCAAACCCGTGGTCGCTTAGGTCACGAACCGCAAGCAAGACTATTTCGAAGCAAACAGTTGCCTTTGATTAGATAGAATGCCCGGGTAGCTCATCACACCTAAACAAGAGCTGAGGGCAGCTTCAGACTGACTAAGCCGGCATAAGTTCCCAGACTAGATCCGCGTCAAAACCACACACAGATGATGGCCTACCAGCACCATAGGCGGCAGCAGAAGGGCAGCAACATTCGGAAGATAGTCAGCACTCACAGCAGTAGAAGGAGAGGGAAGAGAAAGGATCGATCCGGCACAAAGGAATTTCTTTAGGTAGGTAAAGGCTCAAGGCCTAGCTCTTAAAGCTTGCTTAAATGAATCGTCGTATAAAGAATATGAGTCTTATATATAAATACACAGGAGAAGCTAGTTTCTCTTCTTCTGCCCTCTCTTCCTGACTTATTCAATGTTGGCTAACAAGTCATGAGGAAGATCAAAGCTCCTGCCTCTTCGAATTTATAGATCAGTAGTTCATTACGCAGACAGCCTAGCACAACTAACAGAGGAAAGCACTGCACAGTCTTCAATATGATATATCTACTTATCAGAAAAGATTTTCTTTCTAATTACTAGCTTTATTGCATGAGACCACCACTTGGAACCGATTGAGAACATAGCCGACAGGCGATTGAGGGGCGTCAGCCTATAGCTCCTCTAGTTATTTGGTTGCGCAGTACTAGTTACCTGTGAAAGATGATAGAACCCATCCATCATTTGAAAGAAGCCCACTTTCCCGCTCTTCTTTCCCACCCCATTTCGTTCTTCCTTTGGGGTGTCCTCGCCCTCTTGATGTCAAGAAGACTACTACACCAGATCACCTGGTGCTCCAAAAAAGAAACCTTCTCACCTGAGCCAATTACCCAACGAATACCTTTACGCAGATCAGGAAACCCAGATTCAATATATCGCCAAATAGGAGAACACTGCCTTCGCTTATGAACTATCAAAGGTGTCTCTTGCTTTCAGACTTTCCTGAGACTGCTGGTTCTGTTTTTTATCACTTCAACTGGGGCCTCTTTCCTTCAAGCGATATATCGCACTTTAGACTTCCTCTTGTATGGTGTCCTATAGGAGAAGCTTACCGCTCTCGAGCCAGACCGACCGTGCTTCTAGCTCTAACGGCATTTTTGGACGAATCCTTCCCTAAGCTTTTATTCGAATAGGACAAACGGATGCTACCTTCAACTCAATTACATCGACCCTCTATTGTTTCTGGTTTTGGGGTTTCTCTCTACACTGCCTTGACCGCGGGCGGGATCGGATCCCTTCTATCGTATCGTGAACTCGTGAGTCATCTCTTTCTTTTTCCACCTTGTTCTCTTACTCATTCCCATCCAGTTCGTCCACTTGGCATAAACAACCTCCTTTCCAGGTGCCTCTTACTCAACTTCGAAGAAATCAATCTCATATGCATGGAAAGCTTCAGCGGAAACTGCCTTAGAGCCCGTCCCTGGACTTGTGAAACTACCTTTTAGGGCTAGGTCTTCTTCTCTCTGTCCTTCCTTTTCTTCTTCGAAAGCAAAGACTGCTGTTACCTCTCATTATGGATTTGCCTATGGCCCATCCCTCTATATAATATACTTTCCTTAAACTGCCAGATCCGCTTTTGGTGCTTCGTCCGATTACAGAACAGAAACAGACAGGTGGGGCCATCCTTATCGAGCCTTTGAGCTAACCTCTACCTTGCTAGCGTTGCTAGGACTAGAGCCCATTCGTTCGTTGGGATTCTTCCAGCTTAGACGCTATTACCAGGTGCTTGATCCGGTGACTTTACTTAAACCAGAGGGGCATCTTCTTACGAAGCCTTTACGGACTTGATCGCATAAGCCGAACTTACTCGTATTTAAATATACGGTTGGTCTGTCTCTAACTCAAAGGCAAGAGAAAGACCAGCGTACTAAGTAAGTAGGGGATCCTTGCTTTCACTTGCTTACTTGCTGGATTCAGTCAGATAACTTACTTTACGAATAGAACAACACTAGCTGGCAGGAAACTCTCACGGGATGGAAGAGAAATGCATTAGCAATCAACTAATACGAAAGGATGTCGGTACAGAGCACCACCTATAGCTAGGTCAAACTCTACTGCCAAAGGAAGGTAAAAGCTATCATCGAATTCATCCTAACTATAGGACAGGGTCGGAAGTCGTAGAGAATCTTCACTCGATAGCTAATGCGAAAGCAACTAGAAAGGCATCAACCAGGAAGGAGCAACGTAGGCAGCCAAAAGGCAAGACACGGGTGGACTACCTTCGAACGACTGAACAATGCGAGCTACCGAACTATGGTAAACGCGCTAAGATCGAACCGGACACCGATAACGGGCTTTTCTTTTCACAACTAGGAATGGATGGGTAGCTACAGCGAAGTGAGCCTTCTTGAGTTTAGTCTGATCCCTTTTGTATTGATAGTATTTTATGCTGGTCAAAGGCGAGGATGCTATATCTGGGTTTTGGTTCTTCGAGCTGACCCTCCTGTACGTAGGCTCGTAGTCGAAAAGGGCAGTCCCCCAGATGTGTGTTGAACTGATCGTGGTAGCTAATGCATCGCCTTAGTGTCCGCCTTCTTGTAGCCCTCCCTCAACAGTTCGATCATTCGGCTAGCGTTCTTCGCCTACCCGACATTAGGTACACTCGGCACTCTTATCTTCGGATCCTGTAGCTGCTAACCACATTGCAATCACGAGAACTTTCGTTCAGTAGAAAGATCCGCCAGAACCTCTTGCTGAAACATTGGCCAAAGGTCTTGACTTCCTGCCCTAAATTTCTACTTTAGGGGAAAGAGCAGTCCTTTTTCCCTTATTTGTGTTCATAGTTCTGAGTCCTTTACCAGTGAATTGTAGCTGGACATGGGAAACTCCTAAGGGCTGTTCTAAAGATGCCCACTTTATGAGGCGCTCTCGTAACACAACAGCTCTAAAGATGCCGCTTTATCGACCCTTCCACTAAAAGAAGTGCCCGGTTTTCCCTTGTCTTTAGGCGGCCAGAGGGGCATCCCCTTGGTTCTTTGCCTTGGGGGAAGTAGTTCCTTTAGCCCGTTAGATAGTAATTACTGAGTCTATCCAGTAAAGAAAAAGAAGTCCCTGTTGAAGTTCCAGTTGAAGTGCCAGTTTAGCCTTTTCTGGTCCTATTGACGAGGAATTCCTCAGCATTCGAGTTCCAGGAGCTGCTGAGTGATAATGATCATCATTTATTCCGGCTGTAGTACGCGTAAAGTCTCCCCCCGTGTCTGCGTCTTCAAAGAGATGGATCGGCCCTAGGAACAGAT